GATGTTTTCACTTCCTGAGCCAGAAAACATCAACTTGAACTCAAACAAAGTCAAGCTCACAAAAGATTACAGGTACAGACTAGTCATTCAATAAATACTTGTTGACTGATTCATTAATAGTACTTTATGGCAAAAGCAAACAATGAGGTGATGTCTTCAAACTCTCATCTGCTTTACAACCTCTTCTTGGGGCTTCCCTGGTTGCTCAGATGGTAAAGAATCTGCCTGCAATGCAGGAGATCTGGGATCAATCCCTGGATCAAGAAAATCCCCTGGAAAAGGAAATGACTACCCACTCCAGTATTCTTGTCTGGCGAATCCCATGGACAGAGGAACCTGGTGGGCTACAGTCCACGGGGTCACCAAGAGTTGGACACGACTGAGCGACTCACAACACTTCTCTTCTTAGGGAAAGGATTGTTCTGTTGAAGTCGTCAGCAGATCATTTGCACTTGAGATACAGAGAGATTTCATTTCTTGACAAATGCTCTTTGACCAAAAAGTTACCAAAAACATGGCCCTAGGAAAAGGAACCAGAAGGAGCCATAGCTATCTACATACCAACACAGCAATCTTCATGGCTGGTGACCACTGACTACTTTGTGACTAGAAAAATTTACAGCACACAGTCATTTCCACCTGAATTCAGGAAGCATGACCTAGAGACCACAGGATGCAGGGGGAAAAATTGCAGGAAAGAAGGAAACCTCATCTTGAAACTAAGCTACATCAGGCTAAGTGTCACTTGGGACAGTGACCTTTGGGGAAAAAAAAATCAATTTTGAATATGTCAGACACATTTTTATGAACAAATAAGCTACTGACATATTCTAAAACAGGGTTCGCATTTTTCATGTTTACTAAATGAACTTTATTCTTAAACAGAATTTTTTTCTTATTTAACTTCTCTGAGAGAATGGTTAATTAAGACATAAAGTTAGAACAGACAATACATGTTGGGAACTCAGAATCCCACTATGACATATGTATACCTGTGACTGATCCATGTTGATATTTGGCAGAAAACAACAAAATTCTGTAAAGCAATTATACTTCAATTAAAAAATAAATAAAATGGGGGAAAAAAAGGACCCCACCTTACTAGCTGTGTGATTTAGGGCAAACTTCACTTCCCTGAGCCTCAGGGTCCTCATCAGTAGTATGGAGGACAGCGAGAGTTTTTTATTCAGTAGTCACTGGGGGAAGTAACTGAGATATCTGTAAAGCATTACAAAACTGTGCCTGGCATACAGTAAGACTCCCCTTTCTTCTGGCTGGACCATCGAGTCTTAACTGTCCCGTGTTTATGGGTTCATTCGCTGTGTAGGTGGTTTTTACTTTGTGTATCCCTCAGACTCTGCAGGGATGAACACTGCTGAGCGTTCACTGGACTGCTGAAATCTATCTGAAAAGGTCATTCTACCACCGGGTAAAGGTGAACACCCAAAGCCTTCTTGCCTCTCCTTATCAAGCCAGGCAAGGGCCAGATTTAAAAAACGAAGCATTGATTGTCTCCTCTGATGGATGACATGTAGGCAAAGGAGATGAGTAAGCTCACCTTCTGACACCCAAGGTGTCTGCTCTGATCTCTGGAGCAATGGTGTGGGTGAGTCTATTATCCAGTGAGTCTCACCTGGGGAGTGTATCAGAACCCCCTGGAGAACCCCTTACCCTGATACCCACCCACTGCCCTGACTGAGGCAGAAAACAAATCTAAAATGAAGAGATGGTTTATGTTGTCTTCCCACACACCTCACAATTTATTTCACACACTGGTGATGGCAGAAACCATCATAATATTGTAAAGTAATTATCCTCCAATGAAGAATAAAAAAAAAAAAAAAAAAGAAAAACACACGGGTGAGTCACAGTGGTGTGAACCATGGCATCTCCTGGGTTACATATGTAAACACACAGATGAAGTCCAGAAAGGACAGCACGTACAGAGCAGGGCTCTTAACCTGTGCTTCTGTGGACCTCTGGCTCAGCAAGGCTCACAGACCCCTCCTCAGCAGAAAGATTTAAAGACATAAGATACAAAGGACTACAAAGAAAGCAACTGTATTATAATGCAGTTATTAAAACTTCAAAAAAAGGTCTGTGATAAAAGTGCTTCTTTATCAATGCACATTAAATAATAAGATCAGCACATCTAATAATGAAAGTAATTTCAAAGCAGAGATGAGTAAAGATCTTATTTCTTCCATATCTGCTTCTTCTGTAGCATGACATGAAAATATTTGTGATTTCTACTGGTGACTAAGTCACAGGTCTTAGTAATACCACTGTGTTTTATTCTCCATGTTTATAAAGAAAGTAAATGCTGCGTTTCAGTTGGACGTTTATGAAATTAAGGATGTAAATTTTTTTTTTCCTTTACAAGTTAATAGAATCCCCAGTTTCTCTCGATAGATCCCTTGGAGGGCGGTTCCAGGACCTTGGCTTCCCTGCTGGCTCAGACGGTAAAGAATCTGCCAGCAATGCAGGAGACCTGGGTTCGATCCCTGGGTTGGGAAGACCTAGGACCTCAGTTTGAAAGCCCTGCTCTATGGGCGCTATATTCAAAAGATAATGCTTGATCATTCAGTTAACTGATATCTAGCAAATGCCCACTTTACCCTTATCACATGTACCACAGAAGAAAATGTAGAGTTAAAGTAAGACTTAGATGCAACCATGCTCTAAAAATTTTCAGAATATCTGGTCAACATATATTTTCAGTTCTTGTAGTTTTATTATAATTTGTGTTACGCACTGCCAGATTCCACTAGGATGTTTTTTTCTCTCTCTCTCCTTTACATATATCACTAGAGTAAAACAAATAATAGCAAGTCACAACATCTGTTCAAGTCTACTGAAAAGAATTTTAGAAGCTACAGATCAGCACTATTGAATAAATACAATGAGCCTTTCACACTTCAATTTCCTTGATAATAAAATCAGCCTGGCCCAAACAAACTATAGACATTTTACAGGAATGAGAAGAGGCAATTCCTATGAAAGGTCTCTGACAACAGTGAAGTGTTACCCTTGGGTGGTGTTCCAATCACACTGTAAGTGATTAATCAGTGTGTATGTGAGGGACCTAGGAGCCTCCCTTAGTCGAAATAGCCAAGCAGGATCCTATAAAATCATAGGAGAGTCTGTTAAAGAAGAGTAAGTAACAGGCAGGGATTTCTAGAAAAATAATTCTACCGTGAAGCAGTTTGAAGGAAACAAATATGGAACCTACCTAAGAGGTCACCCAGGACACGGTTTTCCGCAAATACCATGTCTCCTTGGGTGTACACGTACATGAGTAAACAAAAGTGACTTGTAATGGGCCTCCTCTAGGCTACAAGATACACTAGAAGTTCTAAAGCATCAATTTGGACATTAGCTCAAGTCTAATGTACTTCATACTGCCCTGGTGTAGATTATTCTATTTTTACTCCTTTCAAAACTGATTATCTGCAGTGCTCACAAAGAGGATTGTGCAGGATTTGCAGTAAGTATTGAAACACAGACCAATTTAAACAAAATTCCTTTCTTATTAATATCTAATAGATAAAATGTGAAAATAGCCCAGATACATGCTAAAGGAGAAACTTAGAAATTCTTACTTGTTTATTATAAGTGATTTCACAAGTTTAAGAATATTGGAAATTGGTTTGTGTTAGAGAAAATAATTATAGAAAACTTTACAGATGCACAATAAGCTGCTTTTGAACCTAGTTATCCCTAAGAAGAAACAGGATTGTTGTACTTTTTTTTAAAAAAAAAGGTGATATGCTGATACATGAATATGTAAATGATGTCACACTAATTTAGACTAGGTTCAAATCAACTTGAATTTTAAGTCAAGAGTGTCAAAACAAAAGAGAACTGGTCTCACCAATCTTACAGAGCTGCCATGAATTTCTAAAGAGAAAAATTACATCAAAACTACCTCTTGAATGAACATCAGAAATACTACTGGTATGTTGTAAATCAACTATACGTCAGTTGGGAGAAGGCGAGGGTGGGATGTTTCAAGAGAACAGCGTTGAAACACGTATATTATCTAGGGTGAAACAGATCACCAGCCCAGGTTGGGTGCATGAGACAAGTGCTCGGGCCTGGTGCACTGGGAAGACCCAGAGGGATCGGGTGGAGAGGGAGGTGGAAGGGGGGACCGGGATGGGGAATACATGTAAATCCATGGCTAATTCATTTCAATGTATGACAAAAACCACTGCAATGATGTAAAGTAATTAGCCTCCAACTAATAAAAATAAATGAAAAAAATTAAAAAATTAAAAAAAAAAAAAGAAAGTCAACTGAGAAAAAAATAAATAAATAAATAAAGTTTCAAACTGAAAAAAAAAACTATACGTCAGTTTAAAAAGAAAAAATATCATTGGTGTGAATTTTTTAAATTATCGTATATTTTTCAAGTCTGAAAAATCAGGTTTCACACCCTTGTCATCACAAACACACTGAGAAAAGCCCCACCTCGTATACTGCTCACCCTCCGAGGTGTCACCTCCGCAACCCACAGCAGGACCAGATGCTGCTGCAGCAACATCTTGCCTCTCCCGACTAACCAGCTGAGTGGACTTTCACACACAAATCAGTGGCCTTGGCATGTCGTGTTATGTCTTAGAAACAGTGAGCAGTCTTGAGGTTTCCAATACTTTGGGTTTTAAATGCAGATAAGCTCCTCCCCAATACAAGTTGCTAAGGACTCACATGGTACTTCTGGTAAGGAGGGAAATGGGAGCATCTTCTAATCTTCTGCATGGTTAAGAGAAAGCTGGTTCAAATGAAAACTCATACTTGTTCCCACTACTCCAACATTTCTCTCCAGAAACCTCAAAGTCAAGTGAGGCCTTTTATGGGGCTAAATCCCACAGCCACATTTCTTCAAATACTTTCCACACACAGCAGGCCATAAGACACAGCAGCCAGAACACGCACACGTGTGTGCCCGAGGCTAAGTGGGGAGGAACAGGGCATCCCGGGAAAGGGGAATCACTCACTGAAGTACTTCAGCGTCTCCTCAATCTGCTCGGTCGTGAGGTCAATGTTGACATCTGGAGAAATGAGCGGGGTGTGAAGCCAGTCGTCGTGGTCATAACCATAGATGGTGTCGGCTCTCAGCTTGTAATGGGGCAGCTGCTCCTCCAGCAGGCTGATGATCTCGACTTCCGGAAGGTCGGTGCTGTTGCACACGTCTGCAGGGAAGAAGACGGACAGATGAGAGCCAGGACCTGGTGGTGGCCTTGCTGCCGCTAGTGACCTAACCCTGGCACTTGTAGCCAGAGTCTTGGGCTACTTACGTGCAGCACACAGAGGCCAGACCAGGCCATGTCAGAGATCTTTTTCCAATTTAAATTCTACTCTTGAAACTTAGAGTTAGGCATGTTTGTTGCCAGACCTACCTGAAATAGCTCCTGCTGTTTAGCTGCCTACCTTCTGTGAAGTAAAGCCAAAACTCATGCCTTCATCATAAGGGTTGGGCTTTCTTCCCAACCCTTTCTCTGGCCACTCTCTCTCAATCACCCTACACTTAGGTCAAACCAGTTATAAGTTCAGCAATATGCCAAATTCCTTCCTGCCACTATTTTATCATTCAAGCCATGTCCACACATAGGTAAGATTTTGGCCTTCATTTAATTCATTCATTCACCTGTTTATCCTCCAACATTTCCTTCCTTCCATCCATCCATCATCATCCAACTATATCCTGAGTGCCACAGTCACAGGAGACACGACATAAACCCAACAGTCACAGTCTTGCCTCTGTAATTCTCATGGGGATTCCAGCCACTAAACCAACAGGTACCCCTCCATCAAGGCACAGTTGAATACCACCTCTTCCTCGACAGGATGGTGTTTTGAGCTCACCAAGCTGAGTTATCTGTCTACCTTGGGGAGAATGTGGACACCTGTGCCCAGAAGGAGGATTACACCACAGACATAGCATCTTCTTATTTAACAGGAAGGCCATGCAGCAGACCAAAAAAAAAGGCACAGCATCGTAGGTAAACAAGAGTGTTCAGTGGGCAACTTCACCCCTTCTTGGGTGGAAGCCCATGGAAGGTACTTGCTAGCCCCTCAAATCTCCCACCATCCCATGCTCACCCCTTCTTACTTAAGTCAATATGCAAAGCTTCACTGTAGAAGGACATTATGACTCAAAAAGTCTGCATGGTGTTTCAAGTGCTGAGGAAAGAGTTATAAGTGGAAAGGGAAGACATTTCGAATTTTACTTGGAGCTCTGGGGACTGGAGAGGGAACATGTGAACGCTCTGGATTCTCTGCCTCATGTGGGAAATGTCACGGCTAGCACACTTGGCATTTCAGCCAGCCCCCACCAGGCCGGAGCTGCTCCGCCACCCTGCAAAGGTCTGCAGAGAACTGAGTGACGTTCCTTCCCTTCCCCTTGGCCACAGTCAACAGCCCACCCTCAAGGCAGATGTCTCGTATTTCTTTACCATCTCCCACTAGTGACAAAACACCCTCTAGAAGCTCCAGATGGGCTCCTAACTAAGGAAATACTTCCCCGTCTTGCAATCAAGTGGGAAGTAAGTTCCCACCAACCTCATCTCCAGGGGAAGCCTCAGAGCCATGAAATGACCACCATCTAGCTGAGGGGATTCGGGGTCAAGGAGGGCTGACACCTGACCGACGGCAGCTCTTGACCAACCACAGACCTGCTGCACAAAAGGCTGAGCCAGCCTGGCCGCAAGAGGATGGGCAGGGTACCAATACATTCCTGCACGATGTCCCCACGCAAGGGGCTAGAACCTTCTGGTGTCACGGCCACTTGGTGGTGGGAAAGGCAACGGGCTCCAAGAAATAAAAATAAAATCCCTTCTAAGAATACTGGGTCACTTGTGAGCACACTGGCAGCTGCTCCGACACTGAGACTCCCATGTCCTTCCACGTTCTCAGGGCTGAAGGTCAACATAGTTACAGTGTGGGTCCTGAGGCCCAAGAGGTATCATTTTCCTTAAAGCATATGATGACCAGGAGATAAAGTATCAAAGGTGAGGCTGTGCCAGAAAGCCTTTTGAAAAACATTCTGTATATTTGACTTTTCTGCAACATGACTTGCCATATAAACTTCAGCAAGTCTCACAGCTGCCCGGCAGGCCCAGAGAATTAGGAAGGGATGATAAAGACCACCCAGGGCGATCTCTGTGACCTTGGGAGCTGGGCCAGGTGCCCCAAGAGCCTCCTGAGAAGGGAGACACCACCTCTGCTGCATGGAGAAAACACATCTGAGGCCTCAGGCTGTATAAATATGACAGCCTTCGAGAATTCCCCAGGAATGCTTTCACAGTGCCAAGCACCCAGCCAGGAGCCTTCAGTGCATCCTCCCAGCAACCTGAGACGTAGATAATATTTGCTCTGACTTATATATGTGAGAAAGCAGATTCACAGACGCTGTGGAGTACCTTGGAGGTCAAGGTCACACAGTTAAATAAGCAGCAGATCGTGTGTGAGAAGCCTCGGCCGTCTGACTGTAAACTATATCCTTCCCTCTTCCACTTGCCTCCCATCTCCCAGCAGGTGCGCTACAAATGCTGGAGGATTCCCAGGCTCTTCTCAACAGGAAGTGTTTGTTCTAAACAGGTAAAGAAGATTTCACAGGCATGTTGGGTAGAGGTGCTCCGCCCGACACATTGACAAATCAGGGAGGTGTCAGGATGATTTTCCCGTCCGGAGTGCAGGAAGGAGAACCAGGAACTGCGGCAGCTTGTCAACAGACCCGCCCTCTCTCTCGGGGCTGGTGTGCATGAGTGCTTAGTTGCTCAGCCTTGTGCAGTTCTTCAAGACCCTTTGGGTTGCAGCCCACCAGGCTCCTCTGTCCATAGGGTTTTTCAGGCAAGAATACTGGAGCGGGTTGCCATATCCTCCTCCAGGGGACCTTCCCGGCCCAGGGACTGAACCCGCATCTCCTGCACTGAAGGCAGATTCTTTCCCGCTGAGTCAGCAGGGAAGACCCAAGGGGAAAGCCCTTGGCGCTTTACTAAAGCTCAGTGTGTGAAAGGACACTGCTGGCCCTACCTGGAGGAAAGGAAACATCAAGCTCTCTACAGTCCTCATGTTCCCACAGCTCCAACCACACTAGTAACCCGCTCTAAGAGGGGTGGGAGGGACACTCAACAGGGAGGGGATATAGCTATACACATGTCTGATTCACATTGTTGTAGAGCAGAAACTAACACAACATTGTAAAGCAATTATACTCCAATAAAAAATAAATTATAAAAAAAAACAAGCTATAATATGTAGTCCTGGGGAAGTCTCAGATGAAGGGCATCCACTTCCTGATTGAACCCAGACCCTGACAGGTCCATCCATGGCTTCCGGAAGATCTACAGCAACAACAGCCTGGTATCCACCGACCCTCAGCTGGTCAGACCATCCAAAGGCCAGGTTCATCCAGGCAGGCAGCTGGACTCACCCTCAACATCTTCCCTTCATCAGTCACAGCAGCCCCATGCTTGCTGGCCCCATCTGCGACAGACACAGTTGCTTTTTTTTTTTTTTGGCCACATTGTGTGGCATGTGGGATCTAGTTCCCCGACCAGGGATCGAACCTATGTCCCCTCCATTGGACGTGTGGATTCTTTAACTATTGGACCGACAGGGAAGTCCCATGAAGGATACTTTTTAAATCACAGTATTGCCCTACTTTAAAAACCTCCCCACTCCCTATAAAGTGCTTCATGATTCAGCCTGCACTTTCCTAGGGCAGAGTCTCCTGACTCCTTCCCAGTATCAAATTTCTGCTTCTTTCTTGCAGGAATGTAACCTCCAAGGTAAGGATGGGCACAGAGCCACACAGCTAAAAACTACATTTTCCAGCTTTCCTTGCAGCAAGGTCTGTCTATATGCCTGGGTAACAGGATGCAAACAGCACGTCCAAGTCAGACCCTATCCAACTGTCCAAACGCAGAGATGGGGCTGGTACTGGAGTCACCTTCAACTGTGAAAGTAAAGGCAGCACCTACAGGGTTACCAGAGCAACCTCGGGCGCCAAGGAGCACTCCTGGGCCATCTTCCATTTGGATTTTCAAGAGAGAAAGAAACACACATCTACCTTATTAATGCCACTTCTCCAATATCCCCTGTGAAGCCACACTGACTTTTCACCATTCTCCAAACACATTTTTACACAAATATTGGTTTTGACACCAGCTGCTCTAGCTATCTGGAAGGCCCTTCCCTGCCAGCAAACTCCATCCCAAAATATCACTCAAATGTCACCTCATATCAGGCTCCCCTTGACCTCTCGCCTCTGGTTATGTATTTAGATTATTTCAGGACAATGTTACACGCATTTTCTAAGTCTCTCCTGCACTATCAGTGAGGCCCTCAGGAGGAGCTCTGAATCACCCCCTTAACATCCAATCCAGCCCTCAGCATCACTCGGCAATAGGAAGCACTCAGGAAGCGCTGGATGAATCATGGAACAAAGGGAGAAGAATAGGCAATGGGTGGCATGTCTAGCCTTCAGCGTGGGGGAGGTGGAGCCCTATAGTGCCAAGGTCTTTTTAAGCTCACTCTGTATCATCCAAGGTCTTAATCAGCAAGGAGTAAAGTCCTATGGGGAAACGAATGTCCCCTCAACCACTCAGAAAACGCTGATCTAACGTCCACCATTCTTAGAGCACCACCTGCCTGGTGGGCTATACTCCATGGGGTCCTAAAGAGTCAGACCTTACTGAGTGACTAACTGTCTTTCTGGGAGCAGAACTTGACAGCACTCTTGACCTCTTCAGAACTATAACCCTTCCTAGGGTTCTTCACAGCATAAGGTTTGAAGTGGATCTTCCTGTCCAAGGATGAGGGCTGTGGGAGGTGGGAGAGGGTCCTGATGGCAGGGGCTACGGGTTCAGCTGTATCCACTCTACACCTGACTTGGGTTAGATCCATAACCCTGGAGAGGGGCCAGAAGAAGAAACCTCCTTCTAAGCATTTGTACTGATGCAAAGCTTCCCTGGTGGCTCATGGCAACAAATCTGCCTGCCAATGCTGGAGATGCAGAAGACATGGGTTTGATTCCTGGGTTGGGAAGATGCCCTGGATGAGGAAATGGCAACCCACTCCAGTATCCTTGTGTGGAAAATCCCATGGACAGAGGAGCCTGGTAGGCTACAGTTCACGGGGTCTCAAAGAGTCGGACACAACTTAGCAACTAAGCCACCATCATCATGGG